ACAGGAGACGTATCTGTAATATTGTAAAGCAAGCAAAGCAGGAAGGGGAATTGGATCTACTTGTCCATCTAGGGACAAATGACTTGGCTTGCAATGATGTTTCAGAGGTTAAGGAAGTTTTTAGTGTTTTTGCCAATGATATACGGCAGGTTGCTTCCACACTGTCATTCTCTGAAGTTCTGCCTGTGCATAACACTCAGAACGACAGGCGGATGCGTATTAGGGACTTTAATTTGTGGCTTGGTGAATGGTGTCAGGAGCAAGGATTTGGCTTTATTTCTCATGGTAGCTTTGTTTGCAATGGAGAAAAGCTGTACAAAAAAAGATGGTTTGCATCTTCCTCAAAAGGGAACAAATGTTCTCAGTGAGCAGTTCAGAGGTTTTGCTAGGATGTATTTAAACTAGGGTGATAAAACATCAATCCAATTGTCCCCCAAAACAAGGACAGAAGGTGCCTGTAGCAAGTGTGTTAAAAAATGATAAGCTTAGAGTCATGTCTACAAATGCTCGCAGTTTAGGGAATAAGATCCATGAACTTGTGGCAATAATGGCAACTGATAGTGTAGATTTAGTCGCTGTTACTGAGACATGGTACAATGAGAAAAATGACTGGGACATAGCAATACCAGGGTACTCTTTATATAGGAAAGATAGGGAAGGCAAGAAAGGGGGAGGGGTGGCCTTGTATGTGAAGGATAGCATAAAATCTAGCCTAATAAAAGTTAGTGAGGCAAACAGAGTCCGTTTGGGCTACGTTAGAATTTGGTAATCACACAGGAACTCGTGTAGCTGTGATTTATAGGCCCCAGGACAAATTGAAGAGTTAGATAATCTACCAGTTGAGGAAAAATACCTCAAATGACAATGAAGGGGGAAGTTATCATCATGGGTGACTTTACTCTTCCTGATGTAAATTGGAAAACAAAATTAGCTACTTGGACCAGGAGCACACATATTCTAAACTCCCTACTGGGATTGTCTCTAAAACAAGTTGTTGAGGAGCCAACTCGTAAAGAGGCCATACTAGATTTAGTGTTAACAAATGGAGATTTGGTATCAGATATTACTGTAGGTGAAAGTTTAGGATACAGTGATCATCAGTCAGTGTGGTTTAATATAAGAACAGTGACTGAGTCACACCACACAAAAACAAAAGTTTTAGACTTTAGAAAAACAGACTTTTCTAAAATTAGAATACGGGTAGAGGAGTCATTATCAGACTGGAGCAATTTAAATGGAGTCCAAGAGAAATGGGATTATTTAAAAGTTGCACTATTGAAGGCAACAGAAAATTGCATTAGGCTTGTCAGTAAAAGCAAAAAATTCAAGAAACCACTGTGGTACTCCGCAGATGTGGCCAAAATAGTTAAAAACAAAAAGTTAGCATTTAGGAATTATAAAAAAAAACCAGAGTGAGGAAGAAAAAATGATCTATAAGATTAGGCAGAAAGAGGCTAAGCAAGTTATAAGAGCTTCCAAATCACACACAGAAGAGAAAATAGCACAGTCAGTAAAAAAGGGGGATAAAACATTTTTAGATACATAAATGAGAAAAGAAAAGTAAAACAAGGATTAGTTAGATTAAAAACAAAAGAAGGAAGGTATGTAGAAGAGGATAAAGGTCTAGCTGACTGCCTCAATGAATATTTTTGTTCTGTATTTACAGATGAAAATGAAGGAAAGGGACCTCAGTTGAGAAAAAGGTTAAATGAGTCATTTATTGCATGTGAGTTTACAGAGGAAGAGGTTCTATTTCAACTGTCAAAAGTAAAGACAAATAAGTCAATGGGACCTGATGGAATACACCCAAAGCTATTAAAAGAGCTTAGTGGTGTACTAGCAAAACCATTAACAGATTTATTTAACCAATCATTGTTAACAGGAGTAGTCCCAGAAGATTGGAAGTTAGCGAATGTTAGAGAGGGTTCAGAGAAGGGTTACTAAACTGGTTCATGGATTGCGGGATAAAACTTACCAGGAAAGGTTAAAGGATCTTAACATGTATAGCTTGGAGGAAAGACGAGACAGGGGGGATATGATAGAAACATTTAAATATATAAAGGGAATCAACACAGTAAAGGAGGAGACTATATTTAAAAGAAGAAAAACTACCACAACAAGAGGACATAGTCTTAAATTAGAGGGACAAAGGTTTAAAAATAATATCAGGAAGTATTACTTTACTGAGAGGGTAGTGGATGCATGGAATAGCCTTCCAGCTGAAGTGGTAGAGGTTAACACAGTAAAGGAGTTTAAGCATGCGTGGGATAGGCATAAGGCTATCCTAACTATAAGATAAGATTAGGGACTAATGAAAGTATTTAGAAAAGTGGGCAGACTAGATGGGCCGAATGGTTCTTATCTGCCGTCACATTCTATGTTTCTATGTTTCTATCAATACGCGGGTGTTTACACTGCCATATAAATTTATTAAATGTAGATTGCAACAAGCTCAACCAGCTATCTGAACATGCAATGGGAATCATACAAAATAAATAGATCCATTTTGGTAGGATATAGGATTTTACAATATTTATTCTACCCCACCATGAAACGTCCATTGATTTCCAATCTTTAAATTTTTTACTGGTATATTTAAGTAGGGACATACAATTAGCCTACAAGGATCTTTTGTTATTTGAATGCCAAGATATACAAAATGTGAAGATGAGCAATCCAATCCATAATTATCATGTAATAATTTTCTTGTCTCTAAAGGTAAATTAACAGCCATAGACACCGATTTACCTATATTTAATTTGTATCCTGATAGCATTGAGAACTCATTGGTAGTCAACATGAACTTCTCCATAGAAGTCATCGATTCAGTAAGTGTCAATACCATGTCATCTGCATACATAGTAATCTTAACATTTTCTGACGAAATCAAGAAACCTTACTCTGCTTGTCTGCCCTAATTGCCATGGCCAAAGGTTCAATCACCATTAAATAGAGTAGTGGGGAAAGTGGGTATCCTGGTCTTGTTCCATTCTTCAGTTTGAACCAATCTGATGAAAAACCTGCCCCCATTACCCTAGCCATAGGCGATGAATATAGCGCCATTATAGATCTTATTATATTACCACTGAAGCCAAATGCCTTTAAAACCTGACTAAGGAAGTCCCACCTGACTCTGTCGAAAGCTTTCTCAGCATCAAGCGACAGAGTCAGGAGGGGAGATCCTGTCTTGGTGCGCCATATTCAATATAACAATAATTCTTCTAACGTTAAAAACTGATGATCTACTCTTTACGAAACCAACCTGATCCTTATGTATAATATACGGAATATTATTTAATCTTTCCGCCTGAATGGAAAGATTAGATGGAATGCAAAGTCTTAAACAACGAGCAAGAACTATTATTTTTAGGATTCAGCCAATCAATATTCAAATCTCCAGAGACCAACAGTTCACTTTTTGGGTTTTGAGCTATGGTTTCACTAAGGAGTTGGGCAATGTCAGATAGGGAATGCACTGGGAATCTAGGTGGGCGGTAGATTCCTGCAACAATGATTGATTTACTGCATGGGATCTCAATTGTGCCAGAAAGGAAATCAAAGGTAGCAGGATGGCTAAAATGTTGGGGGTAATTTTTGTGGAATTGTCAACATAAATAACAATGCCTCCTCCTCTCTTTGTATTGCAATGGCGGAGTCTGGTATTTTAGTTGTTAACCATGATTCTGAGAGCAAAATGATTTTTGGTTTGTTATGGGAACACCAGGCTTGCAGTGCATCTAGTTTAGGGAGTAAGCTATGGATGTTGCAGTGCACAAAAGAGAGGCATTTTTTAGTGGGGAGATTAGGACTAGAATTAGCTGGGCGACCAGGGTTAGACACCACATAATTTGCAAGGGCAAGTAACATAAGGAATAGGAATTTGGACAACATTTTTGTTTGGCAATATAGTGAATGGGATACTTTATAATTTTATGAGGTGGGGGGAGGAGGACTATTTCCTATAACTCTCCACCAGCACTCAGCAGATACGTTACAGCAACAGAGCAGGCCATGGTGTATGATCATTTGTTTCCCAGTTTGAGGTGCGTGCTTATGGCGATAGTGATGTGAACAAAGTTGGATTGAGAAAAGGGGTTATTAAGAAAAACAGTATGGTTATATTTGGATTCATGTTAGTGGTATGAGGTGTGTAGATGAAAATGAAACACAAATCGTTAAAAATAAAAAATAAATCAAAGTATATAACATTGGTGTGTGATATAAAGCTATTTGTAGGGAGAGATGGTATGTATTCTATAGGGTTAAGAGATTGGAAGGGTATGCTGATCAGTGTTTGCACCGGTCATTTCAGGAGAATGAAAGTTGTGTGGGAGACTATAAATGAGGAAATGAGCTTGGGTTAGGGTGGGAGGGGAAACAGTCTTCCAGAAGGCTACCTGTTGCAAATGGCAGTGGAACAGCTGATTGAGCTCTGGGTGCTTTACTGGACTGGGTAAGTTTAAAATCAGACTGTTGCAAATGTCAGTGGAACAGCTGATTGAGCTCTGGGTGCTTTGCTGGACTGGGTATATATTAATGATGATCAAATGGCAAGAGATATGTAAATGATTGATGCTTACAGCTAACTTGTGATTGAATGACTCAAGACAAGGTGCTACAGCAGTTAAACAAAATTAATGTAACTAAAGCTCTGGGGCCTGACAGTTTTCACCCACAAGTACTGAAGAAGCTAAGTATGGAAATAAGTATTTAATATTTCAAGATTCTTTTCTTTCAGGAATTGTACCGGAGAATTGGAGAAAGATAGATGCCATTCCTATATTTATAAAGGGTTTTAAAATCCTTGCCTGGAAATTATAGACCAGTGAGCTTAACTTCTGTGACTGGGAAAGCATTTCAAGAGTTATTAGAGAAGAATATTCAGGAATTCCTTGGGATCAGTAATAATCAGCTTGGCTTTATGAAACGTCATGTCAAACTTCCTCACAATAGGTTATTGTTGAAACTAAAAGAAATTGATATAGATGAATATTCTTGTTGTTGGGGAGAACACTGGCTTAAGGATAGAGTACAACGAGTTGTCATTAATGGTAAATTTTCAAGCTGGACAAAAGTGGTAAGTGGTATGCCTCCACTTACACAGAGACCCCACAAAAAAGACCTCATCCACGGGTTGTTTAGCTGAGGCTGATACAGAGACACCACCCCACCCATGGAAACCCACAAAAGATGGCAGAAACCCCAAATTCCGGTTTCCTTTCAGACAACTAATTCTACTTTAGATACAACTATCATGTGATCAATTATAAGGTTTCCCAAGTGACCAAGATTCCATTGACTTGGCTCACTCGAGAAATCTTGGTCTCCATCACTTCCCCCCGAGGGTATGAGCAACACTTTCTAGGTGGGCAGGGTCTCCAGACTACTGGTAGATTCGGACAACTCATCACTCTTGACGGTCCAACCCTCTGACCGTCTTGGGTTCCCTTTCTCCCAGTAGTTCGCGAATAATCCTTCTAGGCAGAGTGTAGACACAAGCATAGAATAACCCCTCACACATGAGCCGAGACTTAATGCTGGGTAGAGATCTGTTTAATGGCACACAAAGCAACAGTATTCATGCGGTAAATCAACTCCTCCTCTGAGGAAAACAAAATGACAGTTAAAATGTCAGACAGTGTTTGAATATATGACAGTTATTGGGTCAGAGGGTGTTTGAATGTAACAAGGTATTAAAGGGTTTAACTGGTGTTCTGGGGGAGGGGGGGGTTATAAAACAGTCTAACTAAGTCCATAAAACAGGGGTTTTCTTCACACCTCCGATGCCGGCATGCTGACACCTTTGCCGATGATAGAGGCAGTTTCTTGTGTATATAGTTCTTAACTTTCCTTCTATCTTCTTCCCTACCCTTCTCCCCAATTTTTTTTTTGTAGGTCGCGTGACCGCCAGGTCGACAGGTGGGGCAGCTTGAGACCCCCTTTCTCTTGTGTTTTCCCTTACACAACTGAAAATGCACCTGTCACGGAAGCTCCCATGCCACAGCTTGCTGGAGAGGCATAACAGCTAGCCTCCTGCCCACAGACTATGGGCCTATTCACAGAATTTAAAATGATATATAGGATATGGGGTTACATTGTGTTAGTGTTGAGTTTTATGTAAAATGTTGAGGTGGATGAAAGCTATTGTGTTAATTGTATTATGTAAAAGCTATTGTGTGGTGTGTCTTGGTGTCCAGCAGGAAATTAAGTTATCATGTCTTGACCCAATTATGTCCCAGACACCAAGACATATGACAAATGAGAGTTAGTTGATACTAAAACCAGACTTCCAGGCCACTTATGTGTGCCTTCTCACACCTTACAGAGTAGCTCTGCTGGGGTCCCAGCTTCAAAGAGGAATTTAGGTTGTAAGCTCTGACCTCTCATACAATCAAATTAACCCCTTTTAAAATTGACAATACCACCTCTATCCGCCAGCCAGTTCATATATGCACGAACATAACTTTTGTTTTACCAAACCGATTTGAGCACTTTTTGGATATTGTGATGAAGTGCCCTTCACCACTTGTGCCTGGAGAGGACTACTTGCCAGCCTCTTGCCATGTGATTATGGTCCCTGGGAGATTTGGCCCTTTAAATACAGTATTTGGCATACTGTATTTTATTATGCTGTTCCTGGCCCTTTAATTACTTTGGAGCAGTGCTGCAACTTTAAATTGGCACTTCAGATACAGCCGAAGTAGTCGATGCGGCTGCCATTCGACAAACGAACACGTGGCGGCGGCCATTTTAATTCAGCCGAACGTGGTCAGCGGTGTGTGCAGGCAAATCTATGGAACTGTTTTCGGCTACCCAATTGCACGAACCCCGCTGACCCGTACCCTCTCTTCCACTTCGACCCTGCGGCTGGAGACTAAATGGGACTTAGTCATTTTTTCAGTGTGAAATTGTGCTTGCGGTCGGTCATAAAGGACTTCCGACTAACTTTTTAACCCCTGGAAGGAATCACCTGAATTTTGGATATGTTTATATTTGAAGTGTGCTGAATAATAATATGTTGTTTATGAATATTGAATGTATAGTTTTAAAGTTATAGTACATGTGTAAAAATTGTATTTCTCTGCTTGTGATAATTACACTAACCCATTGTGTTCAGTAATTATATCACAGACAGAGGGGAGGATTTTGTGTATAATTGCTGGTGTCTGAGTGTATTGTATGTATACAAGTGTCTGACTGTATTCTACGTATTGATTGGTTGTTTTGCAAAACCCAGTGGGAGGTACTTTATGTGTAAAATGTGTATATAAGGCCAATAAAGACACCGATCTGTTCTGTTCCTGCTTGACCCGCAACATGGAGCCTTGTCTCGTTCTTGGGGGAATTTATTGTATGCTGTTCCAGTTTGACTGCTTGTATAAACCGTTTGTATGGTTTTCCTATTCGGGGGTATTCGGGAATATATTTTTCTAGGGTTCTGATGCTGTTGTCATGAATTTTTGTATGTAAGTCTTCCTATTTTAGAGATAATTAATAAGCTTAATTGGAACTAAATTATCTTTCAAACACAATGGCTTGTGGGAAGGAAATCCCTGTGATTTTGAATTGGAAACCCCATGTTAGGGACACTGCATAAGAAGCCAAGTGTGGCCTAATAAAATGTAGATTGCTGCTTTTACCCAATACGACTGGTTGTATCCACCATATTGGGAAAACTCTACACAAAAGGTAATACTTTCACTATATTCAGCACATCTAGAATTATGACTAGTGGAGGATTGAAGAAATAACAGCAATAGACTCACAAACCCATGACAGCAACCATCTCCGATATCCTTACTTTCCATGTGTGGTGGAACCTCTGCCTGTTGGTGAGTTTCCCTCTCTTTTTACATGTATTTCTCCTGTATGTTCATTTATTGTGCCCGCTGCCCGTTCGGGAGATCTTCCACGAAAGGAATTCACCTCCCAAATGGCGACCACCCCAATACCTCATTTAGACTATTAGGTTAGAATGTTCACACCTCACAACATAAGTGCCAAAACCGCAAACCACAAGGAAAACAATAAATGAGTGCTTCCCTGGGTGGCAGCCATTCGTACAGGTAACGCCACTAGGGGGAGTGTAAAGGATCACCTGGCACCTCTGTTGACAGACACTTCCTAGTTAACGCACCACACCTGACACCACAACCGCCGCAGACTCCACAACCGCCGTAGCTTAACTGGAGTCTCGCCGTCTTCCTTCCACCCTGGATAAGCCTCTGTCCTCCAGGACCATGTGGGAAAGACCTCTCTTCCAGGAGAGCTTATCAGAAAAAGCTCTTAAAAGATCTAAGTGATTAGAGCTCAGGGGAGTATACAAAGTATAGCAATCCCCAGTGTGATTATAACAGTTCCCCTCCAATCACGAGACAAGACTACGTGTTGAGGATCAAACAGGAACAGAATGCACTGAGGCTTTATTGCTTCTTATATACACAAGTTTTCCTACAAGGTTACCACCCATGTGGACCTTGTGGAACACAGGACACAACGTCAATCAAAACACTCTTGTACAGTTAGGCACTCCCAGATAATGTACACAACCCCTCCCCTCTGCCTGTGATACAATTGCCAAACACAATGGATTAACTCAATTGCCCACAGACAGAAAACACACATTTTTCACAAAACATGGAAAACACCCCAAAAACATATCCCCACATATTATACATCCCTGGATAGCCCTGATCTTGGTGAACAACATATCCAAAAATGGTTTTAATGCCCAAAATAGTTCCACAGATTTAGGCTGTGCAGCATGTCTATCTTCTCCTCTATCCTGGAGATTACTGGCTTAAGTGGCTGTGGTAACTTAATTATCTCCAGGTACAGGAAATATCTCTAAGTCAAAAACGGTTACAAAAACCATATAAAAATACATACCGTATATACTCGAGTATAAGCCGACCCGAATATAAGCAGAGGCCCCTAATTTTACCACACAAAAAACTGGGAAAACGTATTGACTAGGGTGAGAAATGCGAGACTTACACTGGGAGCAGAACGGTGCTGACAGAGGAACTGCACGGAGGAGATGGGAGCTGACAGGAGCTGCAGGAAGGTAAGTAAGAGCTCGCTGTCAGCCCCCAACAGGACCGCTGGGCTTGTAATGAGCCCGGCGGTCCTGGTCTGTATTGTGGCAATGTAAATAGTGATGTACCGAACGGTTCGCCGGCGAACGGTTCCTGGCGAACATAGCATGTTCGCGTTCGCCGCAGCGGGCGAACATATGCGCGGTTCGACCCGCCCCCTATTCGTCATCATTGAGTAAACTTTGACCCTGTACCTCACAGTCAGCAGACACATTCCAGCCAATTAGCAGCACAGCCTCCCTAGCAGACCCTCCCACCTACTGGACAGCATCCATTTTAGATTCATTCTCAAGCTGCATGCTTAGTAAGAGGAGGGAAAGTGTAGCTGCTGTTCATAAGATAGGGAAAAGCATAGCTAGGTTAGGGATAAGGGTATGCTTTTTTTGGATTTTTTTTTTCTATCTAATGTAAATGCACTTACCGTGTTTCTCCGAAAATAAGACCGGGTCTTATATTAATTTTAGTCACAAAAAACACACTAGGGCTTATTTTCAGGGTAGGGCTTATTTATTTACGGTACCGGTATGTACAATGAAACCCCCCCTTAATTAATCCACCCCCCCTTTAATAAATCCACCCCCTCTAATTAATCCACCCCCTCTAATTAATCCAGCCCACCCTTTAATTAATTCACCCCCTCTAATTAATCCAGTCCACCCTTTAATTAATTCACCACCCCTTTAATTAATTCACCCCCTCTAATTAATCCAGTCCACCCTTTAATTAATTCACCCCCCTCTAATTAATCCAGCCCACCCTTTAATTAATTCACCACCCCCTTTAATAAATCCACCCCCCTCTAATTAATCCACCCTCTCTAATTAATCCAGCCCACGCTTTAATTAAATTCACCACCCCTTTAATTAATTCACCCCCCTCTAATTAATCCAGTCCACCCTTTAATTAATTCACCACCCCTTTAATTAATTCACCCCCTCTAATTAATCCAGCCCACCCTTTAATTAATTCACCACCCCTTTAATTAATTCACCCCCTCTAATTAATCCAGCCCACCCTTTAATTAATTCACCACCCCTTTAATTAATTCACCCCCCTCTAATTAATCCAGTCCACCCTTTAATTAATTCACCCCCCTTTAATTAATTCACCCCCTCTAATTAATCCAGCCCACCCTTTAAT